ACCTCTATAATACTTTAAAAGTTAACGGAAACACGACGACAATAAATTGAATTTGATTTCGACTTAAATATTTTAAAAACTTAGGTAATTGGTAGGCACTTGTTATAATAATAATAATTGATATTAAGTCTTCAAACTCTAACATAATCGTGATTACTACTCAATAGCCGCAAAACCTCGCGCACGCCGACATTGTTGCTGTAGTCAATAGTTTATATTGTTAAAATATATTAGCAAACATTTTCAATTTGACTTTTGGTATAAATAACCAAAGCCCAAAGTTTTCGAGAAACGAATTTACGGAAATTCCGTTATGAAATCACGTTGAAGCGCTTTACACATTTAGTTTCCGGAAACATGGGCTGTGGGTTGTACGCGATCGATCCGTTTCCAAAGTATAGTTCGTTTGCATTCCCAAACTATTAGAGCACAAGTTTTACACACATTCTAAATAACCGTCGTGTAACGAGATACCAATTACTTCAATAACTACAACTATAAAATAGTAGTTAGAACGATCGCGTATGATAATATTTCCGCTCTGCCGCCACCACGCGCACAACAAACCGTTTAATTACGGCACGATTTGAATTCAGCGCGTGTCGCATACTAAATCAATTAGTTTTATTTCGATCGTCCTTAAGTGAGATTAACATTATGTCGACGTTACAGTCGTAAAAGACTCTAACCGTCTAATCCGCGGTGTGGTATACCGCGCGGACACAAGAACTGAGCCGCGGTATATACCCAGGTATGTCTATATACGTACAAATAAATATATATATATGCCTACGAAATTCGTTGTACATACGTAGGCAATTTAAAAACAACGCCATCGGACAGAGACCATGGTACTCGGACGCTAATAGAATAAAATAAACTCATAAAGAGTTTGTCGGATTAAAAGTTTTATCCGATTTCGAATGGGCGTTATTATTGTTAACCCTCACCTCAGGCGTGTAGGTATTCGTATAGTGTTTTCTCGCAGTTCGCGTAGGCACAACAGTTGTAGATACTTATATATAATACTGCAGACATTCGATATATTATACATGTTATTATTATTACTACTATAGTCGTTCAATTGGAACTCGATCAGGTCACCATTAAAAGTTGTCGAGGAGTTAAGCGTGTGCGCTTTGTGCTTGTATTTGTATTTGTTTGTGTGTGTGTGTGTGTGTGTGTGTGATAAGTGCACGCGAAATTGTATATGAGACGCTCGGCGGAGTTTGCGAAACTTGATCCGATGACGATGAGAAACCAAGGGGTCGGAGGGTACTTTTCAAATTACCATAGCCGCGAAGAAAACCTACTTAAGCAGCCATTACAAGTTTAATGAAAACCTCTGAAACTTTGGGTAGGTACCTATGCTAAATAACAAGCACGATGAGTCTGCCGCGGACCTCGTATACCTATATAAAGGCTTATTAAAAATTAATTTTATAATAAACCTATATTTTTACTTTTTCATTAAACTAACCGTGTTGAATTTATTATATTTTTCAACAATTTGTGCCACTTTAAAAACAGTAAATTGAATTATCAATATCAATTGAAAATATTAACTCTGGTACAAGTATATTAAAATATGATTAGTGTATTACCTATATTGGTACAATGGTAGGTACATATTTTAATGATACAATTTATTCTTTCAAACTTTTTATAGTGTTTTTTTACGCCTTAAAATCGTTGGTATAATATTATATTGTGGTATAGTCATATTTATGTTATAATTCAATAATTGAGACGTACATTAAATATATAAAATCTATGTATAAATACTTTCATTCGCTCGTCTCCCTTCCATATAGGTAATTTTTTTAATTATAAAAACAGTTTGAAGTTCCTCATTTTGCTATTTTGTGTAACAGTTTTTTTAATTTTTTTTTTTTTTTTGATCATAATAACTTTGTCTACTAGGCCAGTAGCTCTAATCTTCACTATAATCTATATGGAAGTATTGTGTCTTGTACTTATAGTGTAGAATAATATGTTATAATATGTTGTAATACTCATAATGTCTTATAGTTATTACTTAATATTTATGATTACCTAATTAATGGCCAATTTTAAATACTTTATGTTTTGATTATAACTATTGGACCAATACATCTTCTATATGTCACTACTCACTACTATAGTATTTTTTGATGATAAAATTATATTACCCAGCTATATTTTATGTTTGCATTCTTTGATTTAAAGTAATATAAATGCACATACAGTTAAAATATTTAAGTTGAAGCATCGATGGAAATACAAATGAAATAGGTACACACACGTTACACACACACACATATATATATATATAATAAACATATGGGGGTTTTTTACCAGCATAATATTATAAGCTATCGGCCATAATCAAACATTCAAAAAATCTCGAAGGGCCGTTTTTTTTTATTTCATAAATACACAACATTATATACATATTTTTTACATCGGTCTATATTTGGCAAATAAAATATTTGATATTATAAGATAAGGATCCAATTTCGTCAACAAATGTGTTTAGGTATCGTTATTAATATTAAAATACCAGCCACATAAAAAATTGTGGGCTGGTGGGTAGAACAATATTTCTCGAAGATCCGAGATTACCCAATCCAGCCCTGAGTTGCAGAAAAAATGGATTAAGCTTTGAACCACTGATCCTGATAATAATAATTAGGATAATACAATAAATAACTGCTGAAATGGGGATGAGACAGAATGATTTATTAGGCAGCAAACATGTGGGCAGAAAGGAAATATCCCAAGTCATTACGGACTATACGGTTATCTGCTGGTGCCGATAATTAAAAAAAAGACAAAAAAACGTTTAAAGCCGGTCCCTTCTCGCGAAACGACAGCGGGAATTAACCACTGTAGCACGAGAAATGGCATCCGGAAGTTTTGCCGGATTTCCTGCACTGTAATTTACGATGTTTTGGCAACCGTTCTCCGATGGTTTTTATTTTCAGCAGATAAGTATGAATATACAATATTATATTACGCGTACATATATTTTTATAAATTTAGCTGAACGCCGAATATCCTTCAGAGCTTTGTAATCTCGGCTGGCAGAGGCAAAAATCTGTTGGAACAAGTAATAATATGCTAATATAAGAAGTATAAATTCGCTATCCAATCCTATATTTGGAGTACGCCGGGTATATTCAAAAAGTTGTCAATGGATTTAGCATAAAAATACGGATTTACAAAACGCATTAACATAATAATATGTAATATTTACATTATTATACGTACCATATTATATTCATGTATTGTCACGTATTTATATATTATATTTAATAAATAAATATATTTTTATTTAGGTACCAAATAATATGTATAACAATGTTATGAATAGTTTCCATTTACTTAATTTTTATTTCAAAAAAAAAATTAAATTTATCAATATAAGTATATAACAGTATGATGTTTTGTAATACGTATAATAGGTAAATAAATTAAACTATTACGGTCAAAAGTGGTAATATATTGTTTATAAATTGTCTTGTAAATTATTATAATCTTACCAGCGACATAAAAACCATTTGTTTAATGGAGGAGAGATGGTTATTATGCTAATAATATGTATACCATAAAGAGTCATATCATGCTGGATTGCATGAAAAATGCATTAATTTAATGGACTACTAAATCATTTAAGGGACCATTAGCTATCACTATTGATTCGTTAAATGTTTAGTGATTGTTCATGCAACCCGGCATTAGAATATTATTACTTTATAGCTTATAATATTCCTCTTTGATGTACTATGATACAGTAAACCTATACCTACACCTACTAATTACTATATTAAATATGATTTATTCACCAACAGAGTTATCACTTATAAACATGGTTATCGGTTATATAATACGTAAGTACCTATGTACAATGTACGCAATAGTACGGTTAAGGATTTAATTACAGTAGTTAAAAACAATCTCAAAAAGAAACACTTCTCCTTCATATCGACACCACACTAATTATTACAACTGATGGGAAAAGAGAAAAAATATAATAAAAAAATATCATAATTATCAAAGTTAATGGTTTTTATAAGATAAAAAAAAAACAAAATTTAATGAAAAAAAAAAATTTTATGTTCCTTTAATATATTATATAGCCTTACTCATATTGTTTATTATAAAATTAATTAGCTCCATAAGACACTATTCATGGTAAAAATATAATATTGTCATGTTGACGTATCTTTGAATTTCGTGATTAAGAGGCTGAACATATCAATCTTAAAATTAAATCAAAATATGATAATTTGATAGATACAATCTTCGTACAAATTCAAACCAAAAAACGTTACACGAAAACCTTTTAATCCTAAAAGTACGTTATCTAGAACGTGGGTGGGATTAATTAAAAAATGTTTTGAATAAAACATGTATGATAAAGAAAAATTACGTTCAAATTAAGCTACATTATATGTACACAGTGACTATAGAAATACATACTGATAAATATAATTTAAATTTTCTTAACGATTTAATGTCGGGTACTAGTAAATATTACTTGCTCTAAATGCTTATACTATGCAAATCATAATATTATTATCGACAAGATTTATTTTAATATATAACATTTAAATTTTTCACATTTTAATTAAAATAATTACTAAAAATTTAATTTTAAAAACTATTTGTATTTTATATTTTATAATTATTTAACCACTATATATATATATATGTAATAGGTATTTATAATTACTGACGAATGACAATTGTATTTAAACTATTAAATAACATTATATAATAATAATTGGATATTGATATTAAATGACACCTTTAGTTGTATATGCGAGTAAATCAATGTTTCGTATTAATCATATTGTTTTCTCGAATAAAAATACTCATTAGTTGGCCTACTAATGAAATGGCGCACCAAATGGATGTAAAAATATATGTGCCCCCACTAGAAAAATCAACGCTAAAAATGTCGTGCTGTTCGATAAAAGCAATTGAGTTTTAATTGGCGTCATGTCATTTATACGTATTGAAAGGTAAATTAGTACTATAAATAAATCGTCTTGGATTATACACTTGGACGTTCGCACGCCATTGTTACCTCAAAGCTTTCGTCGGGTACAGATTCAGACCATTATCCGTCGCATATCGGTCGACGTATTTTATTATTTTCTTATACCACAGCAACCCGGACAACAACATCAAACATGGTAAGTTTTTTCCAATTATCATATTGATATTGTGTATTTACGACAAAAAAGTTACGCTCATCGTTGTCGTTTTATTCGATACACATCGTCGACTTCACAGACGATCGAATTACAAATAATAATGATGATGATGTGTACCTGTAATAACAAATTGTTGCGTATTATTTTGTATAATATATAGTCGTGGATGGACCCAGCCCCTGAACCCATCGATCTCTCGGAAGGCATAACGTTGAGTAAAGATCAATTGAAAGGTAACGACTACGCGGTATATGGTTATAAATCTTTTCGAGTGATTTCATTAATTTAAGTTATTGTTTTAAGTTTTAAGAAAAGCTTTCGACACTTTCGACACTGAGAAGAATGGCAAAATTACGTGCGCCAACATTAACATAATTTTAGATATGTTGGGTCATGCTACCGACGCCGGAACTGTCAAGAAAATCGTAACCGAAATCGACCACCAAGGTAAGATGTCTTTATCACAGGCGTTAATCGTGGGAGGGGGGGGGGGGTTGAGCTCCCCCGAAATAACAAATTAGCCCCCCGTTCGAATTAATCTTAACAGGGTTAGCCTTACCCTGATATTTTTATGCCGTCTATGCATGTCGGCTAATTTGTTGGTCATAATAATAATATTATTGTGATTGTTTTCGATGCGTTATTATAATATTATTATTATTATTATTATTATTTTGTATTGTGTAAAATTAGAACAGAAAATTTTCATTTTATTCAATTAGATCAGTTGCATAATATTTTATTAAAAATATCTGATAATGCAACACAGACCTTCAGATTATCGTCATCGTGTTTTATAATAATAGTCTCAATACACGCAAAGGGCCTTCCAGCGAAAATACTAAATACTAGTATACGGTACACTATATTATAATACCATTATGTGTTATAATTTAATGAACGTTGCCTAATCTTTGCGTTTAAATGTATGCATATTGATAGTTTTGATTTAATTAGTTTATATCGTTAAACATTCAATTAAGTGGCGTATATAAAAGAACGCGGTCGAATAGATACCTATCAAACGGTTCTTTGAAATTGTTATTCAGCCACTACCTATACAATATTGTTATAGACACTTTTTTTCAACACGGCGGTCTACCCAAATAGCCACAAACATTTTTGAATTTGTTTTTGACCTTTAACCAAATATAATGATTTTTACAATGCATTTCCCGAGCTTCATTGAGTGTTATTGGTTTTTTGAAATTTTTATTCAATCACTAAATACACGATATTGTTAAAGACACACTTTTTTTACATGGTCTGCCGAAGTAGCCACAAATATATTTTTAGTTTACGTTTGTCCGTTTAAAAAATGATTTATATGTAATGAATTTTGAGCGCTACAATTATATTAGGAGTGTAATATTTCCGGCAGTGTGTTCATTTATAAATCGTACAACAAATAAATTATCAAGAAATCAATTTTTACGTATTTACTTAAAAGCGATAAAACAATTTTTTATCATCATAATATTATAGTACCTATCCGATAAAAATTCTAAAACTAAAATATTATGAGTACAAACAAGGTGATTCCTCGCAATACTGTTCTTATGCATATTAAACGTGTTTGTTCAATATTCTGTAAACCGATTGTAACAACTCAACCATCGTCAACACTTATAGAAACACTAGATATTACCTATTAATTAACAGTTTAACTTTCAGCGTCTGAGATAAAAGTTACTATTGTTTGGCATGCCTCGATTTGCTGCAAAAAAATTGTACGAAATAAAGCACATACATTATACTAATTCATTTTATCGCGTGATGAAATCGACGATTCACCCACTCTGATAGCCGCCCACTTGGTTTTTTTACTGCCTATAAAAAATAATTCAATAAACAAATTTTGATGCAATCTACTGTATGATAAACAAATATATATATATATAACTTAACAAATGTACCTAGTACCTACACGCGCCTCAACGGTTATTCGTTATTTAACGATTTGAAAGTTCAAATTTTTAATAATTCTTTTTTATACTCACGATTTTTTATATGAAAAAACCCCTCATAATAAGTACCAGCTGCTAAGCACATTATGACTTATAAACGAATACATAAATAATATTAAATACTGTTTATATTTAATTTAGACGTTAACAACAGCTATATAACTAGGAATTAGGATTATCCAAATAGTTATAATGTAAATATATATTTTTTAAATTGCAATTTATAATTTATTCAATTCGTACTAAGTATATACGACGCACCGGCTAATAAATTACAATACCTTCTTCAATTCAGTATATATGTATATATGTATATATGTAGTATGGGTTGTCCAATGTAAAACGAATAATATTATGGTCCTTTAATGTTCTCCGCGATTGAACCGATGACCCCAAACAAACACTCTTTTCGCGTACTACTTATATATATATATATATATATACACACACATTTATGGACTTCATACTTTCTAGTGGGAAGTGTATGTATGTTTATTATGACACGTATCTATTAATCGTCTGAAATAATAATTTGGTTAATCCGACGAAAATTGTTAATACGTCTTATCCTCTGTATCCACCCGATGCCATGGGTACGCACGCCTACGCTAAAATAATAAATACCTAGTTTTGCTTTATGGGTTGCTCAATATAATAACGTGTACGAGTGTGTTACAAGAAAAGTTTCATAAATTAATTAATACCTATGTCCTATTGTTACGAAAACGATCGTGGATTATAAAGCGTTGTCGATAGAAAGTGTTTTGTAGCGGATTTCAAACAATGTACATGTATAAGCACAAACAAAACATTAGGTTTTAGTTTTTTTTACGAAATAAAACTGTCGACTAGTATAAAACAGTCATGTTCCTTTTTTTCTCTCTTACCACGCTACCGTATAAAAAATAATGAGTAATAATAATAAGTAATAACATTTAACATTTAATATTAAAGTAGATCACCAGTACAGTAGACACTTGTTGTTAAAGTGTTATTTCTGTAGTATTTCCAATATACGAAATAAAAAATTTAAATAACATACAATTTATGAATATCATACTATTATTTACAGCTCAAACGCATTCATAAAGCGTATCTTAATCATTTCTACAGTATAACAAATAACTTGGTCCAGCTCAAATAGTAGTTTTTGAGGCAAAAAAAAAAAAACAGTTATACACCATAACATAATAACGTGCTCTCTCTCTGTCATATTTATATGATAATCGATTTATGATAAATATGTACTTTCAAAATATTATAAACGACGACTAAAAATTCACAAAAATTACATGTTACGATAAAGTAAAGGAAATTGTATTAAAATGTTTATTTGTCTTACTAATTCAAATCATATGTTATGATAAAATTTTACTATTTTAACGATAAAAATGCAAATTTGCGTTATTAAATTATATACCCTTATTATATTATACAACTTTGAAAATAATATAATTGTAAAACACTTTGCGCAATCCATATATTTAATTTAATTATAATGTATAAAACACACGTCCACACATACAAATATATACAATTATTATAATTATTATTTCCACAAGTTGAAATTAAACTTATGTTTAAAGTATGTACATGGTTTTTATAAAATCAATTAAAATTAACTAGTGGAATAATGGTTTAGTAGAGATTTAGTTTATTATATATATATACATAGTGAAGTATAGAGTGCAAACGAAAATCGATGGGTGACTACTTTAAACGGTTTGCTTGAATGTATAATAACGTCTTAATTGATTAAAGTTGGTTCTTCACAAACTGTGCCAACATAAAAGTAAATTAATTAATTAAAATCAGTATATTCAACAACGATGTAACTTTACTCAAGCGTTTTCCAGTATGCATTATATACATCCGGTCCACACATTTAAGCCATTTTATACATTAAACGATTTGGTTTTCAACGGTTAAACCAACATTTTGGCTACACACGTGCTTACAATTTTAGCTTACATTGGTGTTTTTAAAATTTGTACATTACATATTTATTTTCAATTAGCTACGTCGAACAAATTAACTACCTTTGTTTTTTAAAGAATTAATATCATATTATTGTTGTGTTCTAGGTTTGGTCCCATAAGTTGTTTGTATTTAACAAGACAAGATAATCTGTGCTTAGACGGAAATCTGTCAGTACCTACCTAAGTGTTCAGCCGTAGATATCACATGTAGGTATAGGAGCTTAGTATAGGCTTTTATTTCGAGATAGATAAACCACGTGTGTTATTCTGATGTTTTTGATTCTTAATTATTCGGTATTATATTCTTTTTAATTCAGAATTTTTCCAGTTTAGGTTTATTTAATCACTGTACCTATAGCTTTACTTAGTTTTAATTTTGTTCTGCATTTGATGTTTTTATATCTGCTAGTTGTATATTTTAAGAGCGATGTTATTATTAGTTCTATAACCATTTTGTTTCATGATCCGCTTATACACGTCCGTTTTTTCTCATATATCGCTCATTCAACAACATGTCAACGTAAATACAATTTAGAGCAGCATTCACACACATGGATTGAAATAATTACACATCTTATAGTTCTTATAAGACTCGAATCTACGCTATGAGCTTTGGAATACAAACTAAACGCTACGTTTTTGTTTTGCAAATAAAATTAACTCGTCGAAAAGATAAGCCCTTTAAGATTTAATATACGTTATGTACTTGCATAGTATATATATACATTATATACGATATATAGCTATAGCTAGTGCATGATGAAATCATTGTATTGGAAAGGAAGGCCGACTGGGCAATGGACGAAGGTTTAGGCTTCTGCGTATTTATTATAATATTATATTATGTAGTCTAAATTTGTTTGGCAACACTTATAATAGAAAATTGTTTAGAATTAATAAGTGGGGTACCTATACAGAGAGTTTGTATTTTAAGCGATGTACCACGAAATAATAAATAAGTAGCATCAAGCTTACTTCGGAAACAAACACAAATAATAGTACCACACTGCCGTACGTCAGTGACTTTAAAAATGTTGATATAAATGTCGTTTTTCCTATTTATGAATAACATAATGACTTGAGAAAGGCATAATAGATAAGCTATTAACTAACTACATATTTAATAGTATTTGAATAAGACATTAAAGTGAGTACCTAGCGTGTTGAGGGTTAATTTTAAATGTAAAAACGTTGTTAATTGATCAGTGTCATGAAAAAATGTGAAACTTTGTATTTAATCACTCTAAAACATGAATTTTAAACTTTAATTCAACTGATGGACACATTAAAAATACAATATACTTTACTACCTACTTAAGTGTTGACTATGTGGGGGGTCTATGTAGTTTATTTTTTAAACTCTACTACTGTCTAGAGCTTTATAATAATCAATAATATTATATGTATGGCAGTATGGCACAACGGCACATAAAAAACAGACAATTTGTTATTTTAACAATATATTACAAAAAGAGAAAGAGAAATGGAGAAGGTGCATATGAAAATAAGAACCTCTTAGTCCGACATACACCTAAAACACATAAACTTATACTTCACGAATAAAAAAAAACCAAATATAAGCACATGCATATTTTAACATGTATATTATAATATCAAATAGCAAATCTGTCGTAAGTCATGAGTTCATGACTTGGTTGGATTTAAATATTTTTCAACAAATATTTTGTATCTGAAGAAAATTAATTTTACATATTTTTAGTTTTTACCGTAATATTTTGCATATCATCGATTTATTTTACAACGAATTTCGTAGTTTTTTAATACGATATTTATAAATCCAAAGCCCCGTTAATTAAAAATAAAAAGTGTAAACAGCATGGTACATTAAACGTGCTACACTTATATTTTCTTTTTCAATTTTTGTACTTCGTATTTTTTTTTAAATTTCAAATCATATTTTTAATTTTTAATTCACATTAAAAATACTTTAATCCAAAATTTTGTCGTAAATATAAACTAGAATAAGAAAACACAACAACTGGTTGATAAAAAGAATTTGATTCAACACTATTGTAGTATTGTGCCATAAAAATGCATAATACCATACAATATTCTCATCACACTGAATATATTATTAAGTCATGATATACATTGTTTCCTTGATAATTATACCACTGCATCACATTATCATACTTCGGAACTGCATAAGAAAATACGTAAATATTATAACTTAACGAACAATAATGAATAAATGCATCATATTTAATTGCAATAACCATGTGATTTTCTATGTGAATTTTTAAGTTTCTTACATTCTACGTGGACAAAAAATAATTTCTTACAGGCACTGACACAATTTTAGAATTCTATTTTTTTTTCAATTTACATGATTTTTATTTCTAAATACTACGATTTTATTTATTCCAAAACAGTAGGCAACTCAAATTTTCGCCGTAATTGTCTATGCCAAATTGTAGTCAATATATCAATGTGTTATTTTATAACCAAACGAAATAACTTGGTATGTATATTGTTGAACTTTTACTTTTCTACGTTAATCATCAAAAGAACAACCTAATTAATTTAATAATATGATGAGTTGTATTTTTTTTTTACAATATTGTTATTTATAACAGTGTATAAAAAAAGGTACTTAAGCGTAGGTAATACATCAGTATTCAATGTAAAAATACAGAATAATATTATTTTGTTACGATACAATAGTATAGGTTTATATACAATATATAAGTACTGCATAAGTTTATCGGTTTGTTTTTTCGTCTAAACTCTGTACAACGCTTTGGAGCTTCTAAAAACTGGGTCAAACAAAACTTATCATTATTTATGTGTTCAGCATAGACGGATATCCACGTGTCGTAATAAAACGGGACCCCCCCCCCCTTCCCCAGGCACCATGACACAAGAATATCCCCAATACGACAATGTCTTGGAAAAAAGATCCGTATGTGAGACACTTAATGTGAAACGTGTTTTCAATTTGTTCCTCAAGACAAAACATATTTTTGTTTTTATGGAATTTTACTTTATAGCATTTCGAAAAAATTACCAATTTATGTATAGGTTATACTACTGCAGAAGACACTACCTACATAATATTGTATAACATAATATATTATTATAGTCTGTACGCATTGGTGCTACTCTTTAATAATATTATTGTCGGCGGAATGTGTTACAATAATATAATATGTTTATTTTTTTAACAATTTTTATTTGCAATTTTTTTTAAAAACCTGCACACACACGGAGTAAAATATATTTTATAAGCGTACGATATCGATTGACGATCGTACCTTTGAGGAATAGTGCTCCATAGCATCCAACGAAATCCCTCCCCCCTCAATTAAGTTTTCGATTTTTTTAACGATAGCCATCGCAGTATAGGTACCTAAAGGCTATATTTTGTGATCATAATATTATTATTATTTTATTTGTTAATAGTGCGTATGATAACGTTCGGTGCTCTAATAATGCATCCAAAGTATAATTTGCGAGTATTTTACAGTCTCCATTGTTGGCCAAATTTAGCACAATAGGCGGCCTTGTGTGGTAATATTAATATCTATTACCGTGCCGAAATCGCGGTGTAAATCGTCGATTGTTATTTATTTTTACTATTTATGTCTGCAGCATATTGTACTTGGGTTCGAGATGTTTTATCACTATAATACACGTCGTTTTTTCCCTTTACAGGAACCGGTACATTATCCTTTGATGACTTTTGTACGTTGGCGTCGAGATTTATGACCGAGGAGGAAGAGGACTCCGAAGCAATCAAAACTGAACTCAGAGAAGCTTTTCGGCTATACGACAAAGAAGGTGAGAATAATGGAAATACTTGCTTGCTACACACCCATATAATATTACCTATATAGGAATGGCGCAATGGCGGATGGTGGTTACTATAACCTAAGTTGAAATTTATTAAAATTTTAATATTAAAAGTTGATAATTTGCATACAGGAAACGGCTACATCACCACTGAAGTGTTGAGAGAAATATTGTCTGAACTCGACAACAACATGTCCGACGAAGAACTGGATCAGATGATCGATGAAATCGACGCGGACGGATCCGGTACTGTAGACTTTGACGGTAAGTTATGCACATATAAAACTATACATTATACGATTTTGCAATTGACCGGCCGAGATGGATGTTAGTGACTTTTTAATTATCCCGTATAGTATTAATCATAATATACACATAGGAGGTACCAATCTTGATATATTATTTTAATTATAATACAGAACACACCATAACAGCGGCAGTGTGACAAAATATACGCGTGGCGGAGTATTGCATATTATTTTAACGCAGTCGCATGAACTTATAATAATGTGTAGTGGTAATTTCGTAAAGAAACTGTCGAAACGCGCTCTGAATGGGTTTAAGTAGGTACAAGGAGCAAAAAAAAAAATTTCTTTCGAGTGCACATTATTACGAAATCGTCGTTAACGCCTCCAGGGATCAAAAAGGTTGGCATGCAGATGACGTCGTCTCCCCGTTGCGTTATCATTTCGACCGCGGTAAACATATCATTGGTTTAGGGGACCTGTCAGACGTGGAGTGGAAACGATGATTATTTTTATACCCAGGTGAATGTGTGATATCAGTGTGTTATTAAAAACAGCTAAAACAGTTTATCAACGATGGCTTCCTGCTACATAACTTTCGAAACGCTGATAATCATTATAATATGGGCGGTATAATTATTATTCGCCGTCGATCAATTACGATCGTTTCGATCGCAGCACAACACGGTAACATGGCAGACCCTGTGGGGTCCGATATATAATAATATGACGTGTTATGTTTGTGTCCGTCCGTCTGTCACGATGATTAATAATTTATCGGATTTTAAAATGAATTCAAGCGGCTGCGGCGTGTGCACCATCGACTGATTAATAATAATAATAACGAAAACAACAATAATCTGGCGGCAATGGGCGGTTGGAGGCAGCTGCAGTTACAGCAGACACTATAGGCATCTATAATAGGTCCATCATACACTCGGTGGTTGTCGTGCACTAAACGGCGAGAAGTGAACGCAAGTGTGACGAAGCTAAAAAATGTATTACTATTATTATATATTTTTCATTTCAATCGAACCAGAGGACGTTATAATTACGTGAAAAATTGTAGGTCTTCGCGACGTGCCGTGACGCGTCTTGTTAGCAAACATCATCGAGCCAGCAAACGTGTTAATATTATGTGTTTCTAGATGCGATCCCTCTCTCGGCGCAAAAAAAAAAAATACAAAAATATTTACCCTCCTCCCCGAAGACGGCGATGCATGTACCCGGGGCATCGCGTATTCGCGTTTCTCATAATATTGAGACATGTACACTCATCAAGTCGACAAAAAAAAAATCGACTCGAATAAGAGTAGTTCGACTATCTCTCTTTTTTTATAAACAGTTAATAAGTAGATAGCTATATACTATTATTATTTTATAGTTTATCATACCTATAATAATAACGACACAAATAATAATATAGTAATGGTCAATAGGTGTTCTATAAGACGAATTCGGTTGCGCAAAACCGTTTAAAATTTTTTTTTTCGGTAGCTTGTTCCGTTATTGCGTTCGTTGTTTGGATATGTCTATATAATTTATTAGTCAAGTATCGTTTTATTAGCAAACGATTCTTAAATTCGTTGTTGTGCAAGGCGTTTTTACTAGAGTAAGTTATTATTATTACAACTTTCTCGTGCCGTGCATTATATATTTCCCTGGAAATTTCACTTCGAAAAATCAATCGTTTTGGAACTCATATAATATTGAAGTTATGCCTACCCAGCCTAGTGTATAGGAAAAAATACTTTTAAAAAGTATTTGTGAATTAATTATAGGTATATGTATTTTTTATCACACTGTTACATATTTTGATCCAGTAAAGCCCAGTTTGAGGTGTTTTTGACGCTAAGTTGGTTTCAGTTATAGTATATACAACTAATTATTAATTTTAATTTGTAATGCTATAAACATTATAATATGCATAGTCTAATAAGACTATAAGTTGTAGAATTTTGAAACTTGTTAATTGTAAGTTTGTTACACTATTATTAATTATTAATAACATTTATACTTACCTATATATCCTATTTTCTAAAACCTATTTTAGCACCCATATTAAAAATACTGATTAAGATGTACATTTTTAAAAATACGTATTGGAACACAATTCTCAAATACTTTACAACTCTAATCCTTGGCCGGACAGACCCTCGAAACGACCCTTTTAGGCTTAGCAGTATAATATTGTCAAGTGTATTATGTATATTTGCCCTTATTGGGATGATAATGTCTATACATAGCTTATACGTAATTATTCAAAGTGATCTGTAATAGAATAAACTTTTTTTTTCAGAATTCATGGAGGTGATGACTGGTTAATGCGAAAATGTTATAAGAGTTATCAACATTATAAAATCAAACAAACGCAGCACTTTTTGAAAAAAGTAACATTTAATAATGTTTCCTTAATTTTTTGTTTTTTTTTTTTTACGTTAAGTAAAGTTTGTATGGACGTAACGCAGTGTTTACACTTTGCACAATATACGAGAGCTCCGGCTGATTTAATGCATTAGAGTTATAATGTATTAATATCCACTATAATTAAAATATCTAATATTCTATCAAACTGATTAGCTATTTTGTTCCCTTAAATCGTATTTTTTCAATCATACATTGTTGCAGTATGCTTATTTATTTCAAGTACATATATAACTAGGTTTACTATATTATTAAAATAAAGAAAATCACAGTAAAACGTTATTGGACACAAATTCAAACATAGCAATTATTTATTTAAAAACAAATACTGCATTTGTCCAAAACAGTGTTGTAATAATGCAATAAATATTTAATAAAATAAGTAATAACAACCATAATAATATGATCTTATCTAAAGTTATCAAAAAATAACAGTATATCAACTTAATAATGGCTGTTTACGATTTCCATTTTGCGTGTACACAGTGTTATTCACCGAACATGCTTACCTTCATTTTTAATTTAATAATGAATTTATTCAAATTCTGATTTTTGGTTTTTTTAAATTACTTCAAGATCATATATATGTATATATATATATATTAACTATTGAGATTTTTCGTACTACTTAAGAAGTGTCCTGCAGAAGTACTAACTTCTGTTTTTCAAATGAAAACACCATATTTTTACAGTCAATTATTTACCTAATAATTTTACTGAAAATTCTTATGTATCTAATTCAAAAGCCGAACGAGTAGTTTTCAGATGTTAAAATGTTTATATCGAGGATAATAGTACTTAAAAATAGTATAAAATTGATAGATTAATTTAAATTAATGAAAAAAAAACTGTTATTCGCATAGCCCCTGGATCTCCTAAGCCCATAATAGTACCTTTTAGTACCCGAAATTAAATAACTTAAAAAATTACTAGTTTGAATTTGGAATTTAATACGCCAATATTTTTAGACAAATTAAGTGCCAAATAATTTATAGTAAGTAGGAAGGTTCTCATTTAAAAAATTAAACTTTGCATCACCAAAAGACACTTCTTAAGTACCTTTTACAAATAATCTGAAGAATTTTAAAATATGGTCTAAAGGTGAATAATAGAAAAAATCTTATTAAGACGACTTACGGTATATTTAAAAAAATTTATACCAGAATTCGAATAAATTCATTATTAAACGAAAAAAAGGGGGCGAGCATGATTGGTAATCACCCTGTGTAGCTTTATTGGCTGTAATTATCAGATAATCATAATAACATGACTGTACCGCAAGTAAGGTGTCGACAAGACAAATAATATTATTCTTTGAATAATATAAATACTGAAGTTAAATACTTTACGGTAGGTACCTACTCGTAATTCGTAATGTTTTTTTTTAAAAATTAATTTAATACTAATGTAAAACTACGTTGCCGCATGCACGTACCTACCGAAATGAGGTATTACTATATTAGGTCGATTCAATTCAAGTAATTGTATAGTGACTACTAACATCAAATTAAATGTACAAGCATTCGGATTGTCTTAAGGCTTATACTTATAGCAGTTACTTAAGAGAAATTTTAAATTCTATTATACATGCAAATAAAAATAATATATATAGTCGTACCTACTTACAAGTTACAACCATTAAAACGATAAAGTTAAAAATATGTAATTAGAGCACAAAACAAAACATGATCTGATTGTATAATATTATACTACTTTTTGCACAATACCTACTAAATTCAAAATAATAATTACAATGAAAATACAAATAATTCTTTATTAGTGTTGATAACCAGTGTATAACAAAATAAGTGGTTAATTTATTGTCTTACAATAATAAGTAAAAAAGTCGATATTATGCATTATAAAGTGGTATGGACAGATGGTCCACGGTCGGCAGTGAAAATCAATTGGTTACTTATTCACGTTTGTGTTTGAAAAAGATTTTAGTTTTTTTCCTAGTCGCAAGTACCAGGGCTGAAAACGGGTTAAGATTAATTTTTTTCAGATAAAAGAGATTGGCTTAAATTTTACATTTCGTTTCATGGTTTTAAATGAAACATGAAAACCCATTATTTTAATGTTGGTTAATGTGGTTACTCCGCCACCCAGGTCACAAGCACAACTCCAAACTAGTTCTGATTCCATAATAATACCAATAATTTGTATCTATATACTTTATAATGTTATTAAGTAGTATAGTTTGTACACAATCCAAACGCGTTTATATAATTCAAATCCAATCACATATTTTATAGATTATTGTAGAAGCGATGATGTTCCCTACCAGTTTTGTAAACAATATAATAATATAAATTAAAAACACATTTAATGGAGTGTTAATGTATTATATTTTCTTGTTAAATATTCTTAATATTTTAACTTGACTTGTTGTTAAAAAAATTGACTCCTGAAATAATCCAAAATAAGTAAGTTAAATTGTCTTTAATTGTAGAATAATATAAATTTAAGTAAGTACATTATTTTTGGTTTATTTACAATTAGCGTAGTCAAAGTTTACTTTTTTAGAATCTATGACTTACGGAGCGATGAATTACCTTGCATAATAAAAAGCTCAAAATATTTTGAGCTATTCATAGACATATGTCAAATATTTGACATTTTTGATTTTTTTTTTCTTTCGATATTAATAAGACATTTTTCGCTCACTTCTTAACATTTAGAATGATTGTATGCTATGCGCCTATTGTAACCTAAACTTACAGCATAGACCTCATTACTATAAATAGCAAAATAAATTACTATAGTAATTAATAGCAATATATTTACAATATGATAATGGGCTGACAGACCGTCTCAGCTCAGAATTGTTTTTCGTATGCAATAATTTATCATTGGATTCAAATTTAACACATTCATTACCCAGTGACCTACTCAATGACGAAGTACACTCGACTCCTACTGTACAACAGAGCGGTTACCTACTTTCCCCCTCCCCTATTTTTTTTTTTATTGATTTCGAAAAATACATAGGTGGCTAACATCATTAGTTACAATTTGATTTCGTGACAGTGTTGATCAAATAATTACAATATTAATATGCGGCTGGAAGAGTATAAATAATTTAGAGGAAAAATAAAAATGTTGAATATAATTTTAAATTGGTACATTTTTTTGATTTTTATGGTAAATATTAGATTTTTTGTTGGATAAGTTGATAGTTTTTAGAAATTGTATGCGTTCACGGTGTCAAGGCTTAGGTTGATAGGTTTAGGTTTAGTTTTTCGGTTTGGTGTGGAACTATTAATTATTCTTCTTGTGAATAATATAATGCGAATCCGTTTTCGAGTTATTATTAATATTCATATTATAATGTACATTCTATTCATACGGTATGATCATTCTATTATTTAAACTATTATAACATCGTTTTATCACATGTAAATTATATTTCTATTGTTTATGAAACATTGAAAAATCTGTTCATTCATTCTATTTACTGTTGGTACTAACTATCTTTGTTCAAATTGCAAACTCATATTTAATTTGATCGTTTGTACATGTATTCTTTTTATACGTATGTTACGAACGTTGGCTTATTTGAGTCTAATTTATGATCCATCCACTCTATTTTATTTTGTAATTACACAATTTATTTTATGATCATTACTGCTTTTTATCGTTTGCAACGTTCAAATCTGTATGAAAATTAGTTTTATAATTTAACTTAATATCTGCAATAAAAGTATTATGTAATTGTTATTTATCGTTTAATTGAAGTTTAATTTATTTTAAATTCTAATTTCCACATACAACAAGTAGCTCGGCCAATAATTCAAAGACAAAAGAGAGAGCACCCACATTTTTATGTTACAATTGTTTATGAAATACGCAATATACACATTTTATTCATTGAACTTATCGATATAATATGTGGATACAGTACTGTATTATACCGCAAGTGATTGATTTAAACAAAAAATGATGTCAATACCTATACTTATTGATGGTGTTAGCTATTATATAATATCCAACATATTTTAAATTTAAATTCTTTTACAGCATGTTTGAAAGATTATTGAGATGTTTTCACGATTACTATCCTCTTCGGTGCTCACTCTGATTATGTCAATTAATTCGATTATTTAACACGTACAATTAATTACATTTACATATTGTTTATGTAATATGTTGACACAAAGCCTATTATATTTTCATAATGCTTACATATTATGGTTGTTGTTTATACGTTTATGCATTATAATATGTACTTACGTATTACAGTTAAAAATTATGATTCCTTATTAATAATAATGAAACCGGCGCGATGACTATACTGGAAATTCGATTTAATTAAAGCATTGAATGACCACATTATAATAACGCTTTTGTTTATAAGTTAACACAATACGATCGGTATTCAATTAAAATTTGACATAATGTACTTAAACAAAGCATTTAAACATAAGCAAATTGAATAAAATATTTGTGTGTAAATGCATTATTTCAACGAAAATATATAAGTAACTACCATTAAATTAAAATTGATTAATATTAACAAGAAATTATTATAATGGTTGCATTAAATAATATAGTCTAAGCCCTCAAGTTCTGTTTCAACTTGTCTATTTAAATTTAGAATTAAATATGATTTGAATTTATTGGTGTTACTGGATTAACAACGTGAGGTATAACAGGCATGTCCTCATTTGAAAAACATAAGTTTGTATCGCCGCAGGACCCTGCAGTACAAACAAATCTCATGAATTTGAAAAAATAGTTTTTAAGTATACATTTAAAAGCTCCATAAATTCAATATTAAAAAAGAAAATTGGGTGCTCGGCCAAACACTATGTACAGTGTCTACACGTATTTTATCAACACATATCGCATATTAATAGTTGGTAGTACTAGTAATTAGAAACCCTGTCGGAATCCATGTGAGACCCAAGTACCCGACTGTAGTCGTGTCATTCCAATAAGTTTAACATTTTAATCTCGGCGACCCTAAATCGAATCCATCGAAAATATATTCACTGATGATATGAATGCGCGGGAAGCGTATCGTCGGAATTTCGACATTTAGCCGCAAAAGGCGAAACCGACGAGTCCTTGAACTGAGGTGTCAGTGGCGTT